GCTCACACCCACACCCACGGCCCCACTCACACCCCACCCCCGCCGCTCACACCCACTGCCACTGCTGGTTAACTGGTATTAGGTGGTAGTTAATTACAGCCCACAGACGTGAGCACAGTAAGCACGTTAAGGCCAGAACTGGCTTTCTCAATTTCATCTTCTTCAGGCATACCCTGCTTCAAATATTTGAGGTGACATCAGTACGCAGACATCAGCTATCTGCTCACTCCACTGTTCAATTCGACAGCACAGAACACAGACACGACCAGGCAGCTAATCTGAAGGGAAGACAGCCCACGGCACACGGACGACAGGTTCCCTCCACATACCTCTTCGTGCCAGTTTTCTCTGAACCAGACCATCTGATCGACGATGCCTTCCAGGGAAGACAGAAGGGTTGGGTGGAGCTCTCGCTGCATGTGCATGATTCGGCTGCAGCGCCACATGGGTGCTGTTGCTCTTATGGGCCCTGGATCTGATGCAGAATGGGACTGGTTACCCACTGAACTTGGCTGCTGCTGTCCAGAATCTGAGAGTAACACACACAACGCCAATGTCAGCGCAAAGCTGGCCCGATGCGAGAGCTCGGTGCTCTAGAGGACCCATCGGCCAAAGGAACGCTGGTTCCTGCAGGCGTGTTAACACATCATGAGACTGGTTCCCCAGGGACTGTGGGAGCCGCCCCGGCTCTAAGGAGACGTGCGCTGAGGGGCTCGGGCACAAGGAGCGTGACTGCCTACGACCTGGCCCCAGACATTTCAGTGAAAAGCAGGAAGCGTCACGTCGAGAGAGAGAGAGAGAGAGAGAGAGAGCGAGCGCACAAACAGGGCCGTGTGCTACATGGTGAACTGAGGTGAGGGGGCGCGAGTGTTCACTGTCCTCTCCTAACTTTACTGTAAGCTTGGGCATTTTTTAAATGTTTGGAAAAAATATTTCACAATACATTCCTTGCAGATAGCTCAGAGAATCTAAAAGTAATTAATGAGCGATCTACATTTTTTCATCTAGGAAAGCCCAACCGTGTGTTAAAAAGGTATTTTTGAAGAATAGTCATTTGCGGTGTGAGAAGTATGTTGTAGAACCCAAACACCCATTTCTCTAGCTCTGGCTCACTCAGAATAAAAACACCCTAACCTTCAAAGGACCCAAACACCCATCTACGTAGGTAGACCCGTAAGGCCAGAGCCGGAACGTGCCGGGGGGTCTCCCGACCAGCCCAGCTCCTCAGAGGCGGTGCTACCATGCCCAGTGGACCAGGTCACCTTCTCAGAGTCTCTGGCCTCGAAGCACGAACATCTGGGTGTTAAAAATGGCCTGAGGCAGATGGCGCTCTAACGATTTACAAGATACCATGTGCAGTGGGCAACAGAAACCACTGATAAGTTACTTCTCACATACGAGGACTATTCCGGACAGATTAAAACTCTTCTATCTGAGAGAACCTGGTAAGACTGATTTCTATGCTGATTCTTCTGACAGCTGATAACATTATAAACTAAATGACATACGTAGTAAATGACGTTTATACTGTTTACCAGCATGCATTATTAAACTTTGTAATTTTCCAAGGCTAAAAATTTCATGTATTTTTCCTACTTATGGACTAAATCACTTAGGTAAACCAACACCCTGTTAAATCACAACCACGGAGAACCATCGACTTGCTTCAGAGATCAGGCTTGGCCTCCCAGCCCTACAGTGTCCTCTCGCTGGCTAAACGTAAACAGGCTGAGGACAGGAGTGTCTACAGCTGTGCAGACATGGAATGCCCTCACGGACTGAGCCCTTCGTGGTCTGGCCAGCCAGCCCCGCCCGAGACATACCGCTCTTGTAGCGTTCCCGCTGCTCGATTTTCAGGGTCAGGTAGAGGGTCCGGATGGGAAAGTAGACCGCCTGGGGATACACGCGTCCAACCTGCTCAGAGACATGGGGCGTAAAGAGCGCTGCTCACCACTGTGCTTCTGGAGGATGACAATTTGTACGGAAAGTAACTGTCGCCACGTGTAAATGGGCTGGGGTCTCCATGTGAACCAAGGAGGCACATACTGTACCACGGGGCTCATCCACGAGCCCAGATTAAACAGTAGGTCAAATACCTGGTTTACCTCTAAAAGATCTGAGAAAGATCAACATGGTGCACTCCCACAGTTCTGCCTGGGGGACTGTTAATGACAGAGGAACCACACCTGCCTTTGATTCGGTAAATCTGAGGACAAAACGCACTGGTCCCCGGATCTTACTCAGGCAAGGAACGGGAAAACACAAAATGACACTAGTCAGTCTTTATATTGGGCGCCATTCACTGGGAACTGGAAACCGATTCTAACTGACAAATAGGTTCGTTACTAACTTCATGTAACTGCAGCAAGGGCAAAACTGAAAATTTTGTTTAAGGTAAGAAACACCAGTCTTACCAAACTGGGGTTTTATGGCTTCTTCAAAAGGCCTGAAGAGCTACTCTGATGTTACTGCGACCCTTCCAAATGCACCTATAACAAGACGACAGGAGTGGTATCTAGCTCTGCCACAGGCCACAGGAAGCTGGCTAACATAAAGAGAGATCTGATGAATGGTGATCCTACCACACAGACCAAATCTACATCCCAGCAGGTAAACTCCAGGCAAAATGCCAGGACCCAGCACATCGCTGCAGCCTCTCAAGAGGAAAAAGAAAATCATTTCTGGGTACAATGTGGATGATGCATCACGTGCAAAGAGCAAAGTAAGCTGGACAGACAGAATGATGAGCACCATGTTCCTAAATGCTTGGTCAGGACGCTCTTCATTCATGAGAAGTCAGTCACAGGACTCTCTTAACTTTACAAAAAGACACACGGTCACAGGCACTGTACGCGACACAGAACTGCCTCCAAATTCCCACCATCCGGGTCCTTCCTCTACCCATCGGGCTCCTCACATGGACGGACAAACTGAAATCATCCCCATCCCCAAGGCACACAACTTTCATCCCGAACAACTGCACGAGGGGTGAGGAGTGAGAACTACGATTACAAGGACTTCAGTCCAAAGGGAAGCTCTGAAGAGCTCCGGCACTGACGAGGGGAAATCGGCTACGAAGTATCCATCACATATACATTTCACTAATTCAGCGTATTCACTAGCAATTTTAAGAGAATACCTGTTTTACTTGCATCTTTATGTGGCAACATATGCAAAGAAACTGGCATTTTAATACTGTTACGATCTAGTGGGTTATCTCGTTTCCAACCCTGGATTATTTCGTTCCAATCACTTTTAATTGTGCTTTAGATCAAGTGATGTCTAAGTGTGTACAGCTTCCTACGTGTGAAATGAAGATGTAATTTTCTTGTGAACAAGGAGACCCTGTTGCTCCCACCTGGCTAATAAGGTTCAGAAGCAGCTTTCCCTCGGAGCCGACCAGGCAGGTGAGCAGCTGCGGGATCCAGGCCAGCCACTGGATGGGAGGCACGCCGATGCAGTACTTGTCAACGGCATCGGCCAGAGTGTTTTTGTCGTCATCAAAGCTCAAAAGCCACAGCACCTAAGACAGAAGGAAAATCCCAGAGGTGAATGGAAATTCTGAGGCCCTCCGTCAATGACTTTTCCTCAACATTAACCAGCACATAGAACAGCCTTGCTGTCAGTGTGGGAAAAGGGGTTCAAAAGAGCCAAGGATATTGCTAAACTTAATGTGTAAGTCGTACAGACAGATGAGACCCCAAATGTGAATACAGTTCTTACCTAGATGAGGCATTACCGCCAATCACTAACGACCCAACCTAGCGACCCAAGGGCCTGCCAACCTGCTAATTCACACTCACGACCTCCCCAAAACAAAATGGACCTCTGCTAAAAATCCCTGATGAACACCACCCCGGAATGAGGTGGCAGCCTGCTGTTCACGGATGTCTGGAACGACTACATCCAGAAGGAGGCAAATTCGGGGTCAAATATTTAGGGAGCTGCTCTGTGTCACCATAGCTGGTGTGTTTCTGGAGTTGGCTTTAAATACTAGGTGCTGATGTTCACTCCACATATGGACATTAAGGAGTTCTAAGAAATCTAAACCTTTAATGGGACAAAACAGAAAAGGAGAACAACTTTTTCCTAACTTTTCTGCAAGGATGAATTCTGGGTTTTATTTATGTGTTTCCTGAGACACGAGAGAGGGCGCAACACCGAAGAAGGAATGTCAGTGTTAAGCAGTCACCTCTGGGCAGGTGCGTGTCAGCCACCGGCCCCGCCCCCCGCGCTGCACTGGGGCAACCCGGGGACAAGAACGCCAGCGAGTGTGCAGAAACCCTGTGATCCCATGTCACCTGCAACTAGCACTGAGCAGCTCTGGGACTGGGGGCATCTCCCGTGCAGGTGAGAGGGGAGAATCTACCAGGTGTCTGGTGGGTGGGTTCTCCTGGCAGCGTCCTCTTCGGTCTGCAGGAATCTCTGTCCAGGGTGAGGTCCCACAGAGAACGCTGGACAGAGTCCCAGGACTGACTCCAGGCATGGTTTTGCTGCTTAAAAGTCCTGGGACCCCAAGTATGTCAGGCCTCTGTTTTCTCAGCTTTCAAATGGAATTGTGACAGATCCCACGAAGAGTGACGGAAACGGACTGGGCAGGCATGAAATAATGCCTCACCCCCAGCACAGATCGGGCAGAAGCTGGCTTCTCGTGCAAACCGGAAGGCCACCAGACGGCCCTGGGTCTCACCTTGGCTAAGTATTTCCTTGACTTGCTCTCATTCTGATGCCGGCATGCGTGCAGGTAACAGGTAATGGCGGACACACCCAGATGCAGCTGCCGCTCCTTCACGAAGATGTTCTCCAGATAATCGCCCCACATGGCCCACGCTTTCACCAGCACGTCATGCATTTGCACGGCTGCAGAAAATGCTTTGTTTGCTTCCTCAGATCTGTGGGGAGGCAAAATCAAAACATAATTTCTTTTTTAGGTGAGCTTCACATAACATAAAATCCAGCATTTTAAAATGAATAATTCAGTGGCATTTAGTACATTCAAAATGTCTACAACTGCCACTCTGTTAGGTGCCAAAACACTCTATTGTCGTCCCCAAAGAAAACCCCATACCATGGAGCAGTCCCTCTCCATCTCCCCCAGCCCCCAGTCCCTGGGGACCACCAACCTGCTTCCTGGCTGACGGACTGACCTCATCTGTGTATCTCACAGAAACGGAATCCTGTATTATGTGACCTGTTTTCGAGGTCCACCCGTGCTGTAGCAGGTATCAGCACCTCATTCCTTTTTACGCCTGATACTGCTCCGTTGTGTATCTAACCAGGTTTTGCTTATCCATTCATTTGGGTGGTTTTGACATTTTGGCTACTGTGGACGGTGCTGCCGCAAACATTCATGAGCAAGAACCTGCTTGAACACCCGTTTTCAATTCTTCTGGGTATATACCTAAGAGGGGAATTCCTGGGTCATAGGGTAATTCTGTGTTTAATTTTTTGAGGAGCTCATGAGCTATTTTCCACAGTGGCTGCACCACATTACTATCTGCAAATGAGAGAGAGTTCTACATCTTCCGACAACGTACAGGACATAAGAGAACTAGATACTCACATCCCTCGTGATTATAAATGCAAACCAAATCCAACAGCACGTGAAAAGCAGTATACGCTATGACCAAGTGGGATTTATCACAGCAACGCAAGGTGGTGGGTCAACATAAAAAAAAAAAAAAAAAAAAAAAATCAACCCATGGGATGCATCACATTAGCAGAATGAAAAAGGAAAACATGATCATCTCAGTTGGTGCAGGAAATCCAACACCCTCTCATGATAAACACACTCAACGAGCTAGGTACAGAAGAAAACTACCTTAACATAATAAAGGTCATACAGGAAAAGCCCACAGGTAACATCTTATTTGATGGTGTAGGACTAAAAGGTTTTCCTCTGCGATCAGGAACAAAGCAAGAACTTTCACCACCTCTACTGAACTTACTACCAGAAGTCCTAGGTAGGAGCAATTAGGCAAGAAAAAAAGTAAAGGCATCCAGAGTGGAAAGAAGATGTACAACCATCTCTTACAGATGACGTAATTTTATATACAGAAAACCCTACAGAATACACACACATAAAACAGAGCAAATATAACATTTGGCAATGTTGAAAATGTAAGAGCAATAGATAAAATTCAGTTGTATTTTCTGTACCTTAGCAATGAAGAATCTGGAAATAAAATTAGGAAAAAAATGTTATAGTAACATCAAGAAGAACAAAATATTTAAGAATATATTTTGCGTAAGAAACGCAAGACTTGTACACTAAAAAATATAAAACACTGTTAAATGACACAAAGATAAATATCTTACGTTGGTGAACTGGAAGATTTAATATTGTTAGGACGGCAATACTTGCCAAATTAACCTACAAGATTCAATGCAATCACTCTAATAGCCTCTTTTGCAGGAATGAATAACCTAAAACTCATGCGGAACGTCGGGGATCCCAAACAGCCAAAACAATCCTGAAAAAGGATAAAGTTGAAGAGCACTTCCCAATTTCAAACCTTACCGTAAAGCAACAGTAAGCAATACAGTGTGGCCCCGGCAAAAGGATGGATGTACATCAGTGGAACAGAGCTGAGTGTCCAGAAATAAACCTTTATTTTTCTGGTCAGCTAACTTTTCAAAAGGCTGCCAAGGCCCTTCTAATGGGGAAAGAAATCTTTTCGATGACTGGTGCTGGGACAGAGTCTATACACGTGCAAGAGAATGTATTTGGACCACTAACTCCTGCCACATATAAAAATTAATTCAAAATGGTTGAAGACCTGACTGCAAGAACTAAACCTGTAAGACTCTTTGAAGAAATCATAGGAGTAATCTTGTGACCTTGGGTTAGGCGATGGTGTCTTAGCTATGACACTAAAAGTACGAGCAACCCAAGAAAACAGATACAACCCAACTTCAAAATGAGAAACTTTGTGCGTTAAGGGCACGGTCAAGAAAGTGAGAAGACAGCCTGCAGAAAGTGTGAAAATGTCTGCAATCACACACCTCAGAGATACATCCAAAAGTCTAAGAATTAGAGCCGATGATAAAAAGCCAAATAGTCCAACTAAGGAATGGGCAAAATAACCGAATACATGATGCTGTCGAGGAGACTTGCAAATGGCATAGAAAAGACGCTCAGTACCACCAGTCACTAGGAAAATGACAATCAAAACCCGTGAGGCCCCACTTCATCCTCACGAGCACAGCTACAGTCCGAAAAATAGAAAGTAACAAATGCCAGCAAAGATGTGGAGAAGCTGGAAACCACAGACACTGCTGGAGGGAACGTAAAATGGCGTAGCCATTGTGGAAAACCACCTGGAAGTTTCTCGACAAGATAAATAAGTACCACATGACCCAGCAATTTCACCCCTAAGTATATACCCAAGGCTCCCACAAAACCCTGTACGTGAACATTCACAGCAACATTACTCACAGGAGTCACACGTGGAAACAGTCAAAATGTTCACTGATTGTTGAGTGGATAAATAAAATCTACAGACACACCGTGGAGGACTGTGTTCGGACACCTGCTATAGCACAGACGACCCCGAGAACAGACGGCCCCTGAGAGAAAGCAGCCAGGCACAGAAGGCCACAGACTGTAGGATTCCATTTATTCGAAACGGGCACAACAGGCACATCAGAGAGACAGAAAGAAGATCAGCGGCTGTCAGGGGACAAAGGAAGGGGACAACAGGCAGTGACCACTAACAGGTACGTGGTTTCTCTCGGGGGGGATAGAAAGGTTTCAGAATGAGCAGCTCACAGTGATGGTTGTACAACACTGTGGATGTCTAAAGCCCACTGAACTGTACCCTTCCAAATGGTGCGTTTTAGGTCATGTGAATTTAAAACGTTAAAAAAAAAAAACTTTTATCTTGACAAAATCACTTCCTTATTTAAAATAAGCTAAAAATGTGACCCCTTTTATTGAAAATGTGAAAAGTGAGCTTTACAGCTCCACATAAGGCAATGAGCAGCATCTTGTAAGCGTATCTCATTTGTGTACTTTTCACAAAATTTCATCTGATGTTCATTTCTCTAAAACAGGGTTTTGTGACCTTTCTCTGAAGGGCCCAGACAGTAAATGGGTTTAGGCTTTGTGGGCTGGACAATTTCAGTCACAACTACTCAACTCTGTGGCTGTCGTGTGAAAGCCGCCATAGAGCCCGTCAGCGGGGGTGGGCCTGTTCCCAGACCTCGTTCACAGAGACCAGACGCTGGCCGGGTTTGGTCTGCAGGCCTCAGCCTGACCCCCTGCTCTAAAACAGGAACTATCTCCATAAAAGGAATCAAATCAACTCTGGTCCAAAATGTCATGCTGCGAAAATGGGGAAATGAATCTATGCCATCAGCAGTCCTATGTTCAAAAGCAACTCATTTTTAAAAAGCGTTTTTAGGGGCGCCTGGGTGGCTCAGTCGTTGGGGGTCTGCCTTCGGTTCAGGTCATGATGTCAGGGTCCTGGGATCGAGCCCCGCGTCGGGCTCCCTGCTC